ATAAGTTGAAATAGGAAGAGTATCTTTTGACAACCCTTGAAAAACACCCATATAATTCTCCAGTTTTGCAATCCTTAGCAGACAAAGTCTTCTACCTGCCTAAGGCAACGGATACCTAAGGACAAACTTCATACAAATTGGTAGCTGTACTGGCAGCTGTCTTTCCAGCTGCTTTTTATGGCTTTTGTCTTTCAGCACATACACTCAACAAACACCCATTCGATCTGTTGTTGTAACGTAATTCACGAGTGCGGAGTTTCTTGTTCTGTGATATTCACTTCTCACCTGTGTTTATATACTCTGTCATCCTACAGCCTCCTTCACATTGCCATCTCTTCCACTGTGCCATAAAATATTTCTGCAATTCATTGATTTTAACTTTTTCCAGGTAGCAGCTAGACATTCCTATTTTATATAAGCAGCTCATCACAAAACAGATTCCTGGCGACAAAACATTTTCTGGTGACAGTAGTAGTTCCTCCTTTGTCCTAATCCATCTTTGTTTTTAACATAGCTGCAAATCGGAAATGTTTTCTACTGAGATAATACATTTACCTCAATATTTCGCAATGCAGTTGGCTTAATTTGGTGAAAGATTTGTTTAGATTTGCCTCAGTGAATAGCACTGCTCATTTCACATTTAGAGAATGAAGTGACAGATCTGCTGGAAGTCAGTAACAGTTACTGTTTATGCCTTCCCAAACAATATGGAGAGACACTGAAGTAGTACAGCTGTAAGGAAGCAAGTTTTCTAAGCAAATAGCCATAGCATTATCATAACCCATCTGATCTGAGTGGTTGGCCAAAGAAACAGATGTAGGGCTTGATTTCACAATGTATTCATAATGGAGTCTAAGATTACTATTTACAAGGAACATACAGAATTCTTTTTACCTACAGTACAGATCAGAGCAAAGCAAAATATCATTCCTCTCATCTTCAGCAACTTTCTGATCAGTAAATACTTTATCTTCAACATTTAACCTGAAAATTTCTCTCAGAGTTTCTGAATTCTGCAGTTAGATATTATCTCCTTTCCTGTATTATTCCATCTCACCCAATTAACCACACATTCATACACCTGTAGAGCAAGAAATTGTAACTCCTATGTTTGATTTCTATCAAAGCTCTTCATACTTGATATGAAAGAGTACAAGCAACTTTTACTGAAAGCAGACCCACGAAACCAATTCAGTGAATTCATAGCTGCAAGAAGGAAAAGCAGAGCTTGGGCCTACAACTACTCTTCGTAACACTTTAAGATCACTTAAGTATAAATGAGGTGATAAAAACCCTCAACTTCTTACAAGCCTAGTTATGCCAATGAAAAGCAAAAGGAAAGGCAGATTATATAAACAAAGCTCTTTGTTTTAGAAATGATATTCAAGATGTAGAACTTCTGTTACACACCAGATCAGCACATTATTATCTTTGTCCTTTCCCTTAATGCATTCCCACCAGGGTTTATTAGCTCAGCCACAGGTCTCTTGTAATGCAGTCCTGCAACTTTTTGAGACCTTGAATGGCAGACAGAGCAAGTTCACCTTTTTTCATGTGACACTGTCTTAGTATTATCTGCTCAAATTAAGTTAGTCACATTTATTTCTTAGCAATTTGATTTGGGACTGCAGACCTTCACTAAGAGACTCTGTAGGTTCAGATGTTTTGACACAGTTAAAGTGCCAGTGGAGTCACAGAATGAACTGCTCACAGCCACAGCTCTGAAGTCCACTCCCAGGTCCTGTCTTCACATCTGCTGGTGGCTTTCTGATCTTGTCCTGGCTTTCATTTTTACTTAACTGCAAATCTGGGATTAAGTGCAGCTAGTGTTTTCAAGGCATTTAAAGATTCGTTCAGCAAAATAGCTTAACAAATATTTACAGTTTCCTGTTTTGCTAATGATTGTAATAATACAGATATAAATTTCCATTTATCAGCTCAAGAGTAGTAACAGATGTGTTACACATTGAAACGCAGGCCAGAATTTGCTATTTTTAAATTACAGTTCTTTATTGTTGCCATCACCAAACTGGACACCCCAGTCTCCCTCCATCCAACCACGGAGTCATGAGAACAAATAAGATCAAGTGCTTTCAGTGTCTGGCTTAGGCTAAGAGAAAAAAACATGACATCAGACTAGCTCTTAAGCTATTTCAGAAGATGGCGAGCACTCTTTCCATCAGAAAAGAAGATTTAAGTTTTGTCTTTGCAACACTGCATTTAAGAAAAAAAGCACACGTGCAATCTGAATGAGTACTGAAAGAGCATCAGATTCATCCAGTACTCACTCAGAATATCCTGTTTCAATGACAGTGTTAAACCCTGTTGTTCTTCCAGGCTCTCAACTATCAAGTTTTTTCTTTGTTTTTGTTGTTGTTGTTGTTTTAGATAATCTTACCAGATTTCAAACTGATCTGAGAATTTTATTCATTAGTGCATCCTACATTTGTTCAACCTTGCAAGACCTAAAAGCATATCAGAATGGCATGCTATAGTGCCAGCTATTTTACAGTTTAATCATCATGTCATAAGAATAAAGTAGAGCCATGAGCTTACCAATCTTTTCAGAGTTAGAGAAGAAACAAGACTGTAAAAGAAAAATCTAGAGGCAACGTAATAAATCAAAACTCTCCAAGAACACCAAGAGTTCGCAGGCAAGATCCAATTTCAGCAGTTCTGTTGCTTTCTGTTCTCATCGCAATTTTACACAATTTCACACAATTTCAATTATTATATATATATATATATATATATGCACACACATATATATGGCCTAGCATATATTTTCATCATGGGCCTAACTGTGCAATATGAAAATATGCAATCTCAGAGGTCATCAAGTTTTTTTTCCTCCTTTCATATCTATACAGGGTTTTTCCTTAAAAAATTACTTTTCAAAGTGAATGAAATTTAATTGAAGATACAGGCATACAGAGCCTAGAGAGAGAACTGGATGCAAGAAAATCACAGGAAATTTAGACCACAGACATAATAAGTTCCCAGCTCCTCAGTTTGTGATTCATTCAGCATGATTTTTAATGCTTTTCACAGCCTCCTGGCAGTGGAAGCTTATGCTATGAATTTAAGTCTTGATCTCATGGGCTATTTACTCTCCTCTATTCATCATACTGGGGGAAAAAGTCTGGCTGCACATAGCTACAGTATATTTTACAGCACCAATACACACACACACAGCTAACAGCACTAACTAGGAGAAAGAGATAGGAAATCCAGGTGGGATGGTGACTGGTTAAATAAAAAAAGTCAGATTTTTGGGAGTCAGGATAGAGAACAGACACCTCCATGCCATACTTTAGAACACCTCAACCTCAGCTTCTGTCTCAATAACAGATGTTTGTTATCTATTTGAATTTCCACTAGGAAGCTTCTGCAGAATTGCAGTTTTTGCAGAAATTGCGGAAATCAGAACGCCCTTGTTCTCAAGGAGGACATGAGACCCCCTAGGAACTTACTGGCTTATTAAAACATTCTTCTTGCACCAATAAGTTCTTCTAACATCTGTTGTAAGCTGAAACCTTCACAGTACTTCTCTGAATTGTTTCCACTTCACTACTCTTCTGTTCATAGTACAAGGCTGTACTATAAAGCCAAGATGCAGCTTTGTCTAGAAATTGTGTAGTTGAATTAATAGCAAATTAAGCAACATGAAACACTGATTAAAAAAATATCATGCGATTTTTCACTGAACAAATTAAGAAGAAACACACTGCAATTTCACAAAGGTCTAAAAACTTCAAGGCAACAACAGTCAAGACAACCTGTTTCTGTATAGACTGTGCTATATATCTTGTGGTATCCCTAACCTGATTTCTACAGAGCAAAAAGCAAATCACACCTGTGAGATGACCTTCCCAGTGACAAACCAATTTTCTCCACCCCAACACTATGTTTTTATTGATATTGTACCAGTTCCCTTCCAGGAATGTCAAGTGTTTATTTCTATACAGAAAAATATAGAAGCAGCACTCACCAAAACGCTGGTTAAAGACTGTTATTCAACATGGGGTTATTTTTCAACAAACACGTAGCCTGTCTTTGTGCACTGTAGAGAGAGCTGCTTGATGCTTCATAGAAGGGATAAAAGCCTCAGGAATTGTGGACAATTTCTAATGGTATGATCTCACACAGATTGTTCTGTGCATACAAACAGCAGAGTAATTGAGTCCTGTAGAACATCAGCCCATAGGTCTAGCTCTTCTACAGGACCACAGCTTGCCCTTTGTGCCTTGCAACTACCCAGGCACAGTTCTGGCTGTTCCCCAGCCTAACACAAGGCATTGTTCCAAGTTGGCATATCCGTGCTGGGATGCATCTCCAGGAGTCAATGTGATCAGGCTGCACTGTCTTTGATTTCCTCCAGACCCCTAAGGGTTACCCTGGCCACCAGTGCAATACAGTATACCTGCATGATCTCGTGCCAAGGCACAGTTTTTCGTGCTAGAGACAGAGGTTACTTCAGAAGCTCTAAACTCAGCACTTCTGGTGCTTCAGTGCCACCAATATCCTGAATGGAGCTAGCAGATTTATGGCAAGTATGACATAACCTAAGTCAATTAGATTTGCCCCTTTTTTCAGAAGTGCTGCCCTTATTTCATCATCACTGTTCATCAGCACTCTCAGTGTAGGGGAAGGAGGGCAAAGGCAGCAGATTACACAGTCACTCATTTCTTCCTGCTTCTCCTAGTCATTAATGCCTTTGTCAGGCCTCATGTGAACTACTGCAGATTTGTACTGATCAGTGCAATTGCATTTACTATTGTCATCAGATCAATTTATCCTTTAGAGAAATAAGAGTGTGTTATTTTGTCTTTTTCTGCATGGTTTTGATTTTAGGCCACTGAGGCACTCCTAAAACCACACAACTCAGAATGAATTAATATACTAGAAGCCTTAGGGCACAATTTCAGTACACGTAATCCTGCATAGCACTGTGAGAAAATGAAATCACCACTTGCAAAAGAGGAAATAACATTGCCAAAACAAAAAAATTTATTGCACCCAAGAAAAAGCATAGCAAACTCCAATTATGAGCTTCTACTGAGACTAAGAACTGCCACTGGCCAGAAAACACATTAATATGCCAGCATGAAAAGCATGTGCAGAATTTAGTGCCTCTTGCTTTTAATAGGAGTTTTAGATGGAAATGGTTTCCTTCTTCTGTCAATACCTGAAAAATTTCTGAAGAAAAATGAAAAAAAAGAAAAATATTAATACAATAGAAAACCTGGTATCTATCTTCCAAAACACAAATAAAGCTTGAAATTAAAAGCAAAAGCTTTTGGAGAATTTTTTTTTTTTAAGCTGAAAACCTCATTGGTGTTAGCTTAAAAAAAAAAAAGTTTTTGTGCAATTTTCCTCCACCTAGCTCCAACTATAATGTGGGGAAGCCAGGGGTTCCTGGCTTCAGACAGCTCTCTGATAGCTATGGCAGAAGGAGAAAAGATGCTGAGCTCTCTCCAAACACATCTAACTGAAATCATCACAGTGTTGCCTTACTGGTGTATTCAGTAAATGTAAACAAATGAATACTGTTTTTATTTTTCACAGCTACACTCAGTTTTTATTTCCTTAGGTTCTGTCAAATACACGGCTCCACTCTTAAGTGAGCAGTTTTAGAAAACTATGCCACAATAATACAGATTGTTTTCAAAGATCACTGTAAAAAGCATGAAAAAGTTGCAAAGGAAGAAAAAAATAAGGATGCACAGAAAACACAGTACAACCCATCTCATTGGAAGTGGGGAAGAACAGCTGGAAAGGGAGGCAAACACCAGTCCTGCCTCACTCCCCCAGAACCCCAGCCCTGAGCTCCCTACCAGCAGTTATCAATCAGTGCTGCAACAGACAGTGCAGGTAAAGGTAAGCTCACTTACTCAATTTTACATGGGGCCACAAAAATGTGCAACTATGTTTCTATTCTTGTTTTGAAAGAATGGATCTGCACATATCCAACATGATCCCCACTGCGCGCAGTCATCGCCAAAGGCTTGCACAACGTTATCAGCCAAGCTACTGACAGAAAGGTCATTTCTGTTTAACGAAGATAAAACCAAAGCTGCATTTTAAGGATAAGCGTGGGGAAATGAAGAAACAAATATACCTTTTCTGTTCCTAAAACCAACTGGGATAACATTAGACATCTGTAACACGATGATTTATAGATCACTTTTCCTTGGTTTTGTCAAGGAAAGTTCAGAAATTGCCACAAATAGGATTGTCTGTCTATAAATCTATTTTAATGTTGAATTGCAATCCGACCCGACACAAGTGGGAATATCACTCTGCCTTTCTAATCTGTTGACAATAAAACAGCAAAATCTTTGAATTACAAAGTTGTTTTTCTACTGATGATGGGGAAGAGAGTTCAGGTTTGTTCTCTTTTCTCAGTCCCAAGGCTGAGATTTTCCACAGGCCTGTGCAGCCCTGAGGAATTAAATGTTTTTAGCTGTTCTTTCATTCCCTTGCCTTCCCATAAAGAGCTGTGCCACAATTGCTGTAGTTAGAGTGGTTTGGATGAGTGAACTTCAATTTCCCTGCCTTGCTCAGCAGCTGGACTCCTGAAAGTCTCAAAGACAGGCACATCTGATGAAGAGACCATTAAAGCGAATGGGAGACAACTCAAAAGATGTGGCTTATAACATCAAAAGCAAGTATTGTGCAGGTGCTTCATATTTTCAGTCATTATGTGTTAAGTCTTTCAAACAAGCAGTCTTCTCCAACAAAGTGACTTGGCACAGATGCTGAAGCATGAAGCTTACTACTCCAAAAGACTACAATGCACTGGCAAAAAAACATAGGGAGGTAAAAAAAACAGCTCCCAGGCTAAGCTGTGTAGTTCTTAAAAACCTAAGCTAAAACCTTAAGTACAGAGAAACATTGTCTTTTTATATTTAGATGAGAAGTCACAAATCCTGGTGGTGATATAGACAGAACTATAATGATAATCATTAATAGGTAAATCATGTAAGAAAATCATGTCACTATAAAGCCAAGAAATTCAGCACACACTTGAACAGTTGGCTTAAGTTGATCTATCAAATGATCTTTTCTGCTGTAGGGGGTTGCATTAAGTCAGCAATTAGATGATTAAGAACCTGCTAGCCAGCATACAGAAAACAGCCCCATTTGACAAGTAAGCCTTATAATATTTTCCAATTGCTTTTCCATCCCAATATCATCTGTGTCAAAGATAGGACAGATGGCTTATTAAGCATATCACAATCCACTTTTATTCACTAATTTCCTTAATGTTTCTTACTACATCTTCTTCTGTGTCTCTCAAATGTTTAAGGACCACTCCCCCACTGTCCTTCTGTATCCCATTTAGTTAGCCCTCAGTCTATTAGAGAGAAGTCACTCACCCACAGAGATTCCTCTGCTATCAAGTCCCATATTGGCCTCTACGGAGTAGGGAGCAGATGTGCAATTCTCTCCAGTATGCTAGAAAAAATTCTAAAGGAAGGAGGAATTTTTATTTGTTTTGAAGACTAAGCACATCCCTTCCTCTCCCTTAACCAATAAAATGTGAACATGCCATATTGATTCAAGGTAGTTCCCTGAAAGTCATTCTTAGGGAGTTTATGGAAAAAAAAATTGGAAATGTTAAAATATAGCTAATCTAGTATCAAAACATGAATGATTAACATAAGACTTCCTTCATTCTCTGTTTCAATTTGTTCCCCTCTTCTTGTATGAGCTACCTCAAAAGGTATTTGAAGTTTTACCTGCACAAGATTATTTCCACTATTTCCACTTCTCCCTCACCATTCCCTGCTCCCAAAAATACTGATATCACTTTTCATTGCAATCATCTTCCATCCTGACAGAATATAAAATCTGTAACTGCCCTGAAGATTATTAAGCTATAAATAAACCGTTTACATTTTGTGTGGTTATGCAAGTGAAATAAACAGATTCCATCTTCCAGCTCAAAACTGCAAAACAGACGTGTGTGGATTTCATCACTCTTAAATGAAGTCACAAAATGGTAAACAAATACACAGGCACAGAGAAGCGTTTCAAGTGACTGATCCCAAATCACTATGAGAACTATGATGATCTTTTCTACTTTGTAAATGCATATTTAATAGTAACATTATCTCAGAGATGTTGAAAGTTAATTCTAATAGAAGAGAGACTAAGAATAAAAATATATTCCATAACAAAAGAAAGTACTGGAACTAAAAAAAAAAAATCAGTCATGCAAATAAACAGAGCCAACTGACCTCCTTTGGGGATGCAGATGAAAAAGAATTTAAAACCTAAGATGAACACTACAATGTCTAAAAGTAACTTCAACGCAGATGAGATGCCAAGTCTGACTTCACCATATGGAAACCTTCCTGCTTGAGTCAGTCCATAGGTACATGTCCAGAAACCTCCTGAAGAGCAGCAGTCAACAGCCAAAACACAAACATAGCAATGATAGCAAAAATGCCATAGCACAAGAGAGATGTGTAATATTGACTGAAAACAGATTAATGTACCATTTTCAGTATTTAGCTAGAGACTACTCCATTATATCTGAAATAGGTTTACTAAAACAAAACTCAATGTTTATAAATGTCACAGGACACTTCCAAGAATAAGGTTAATCTTCTAATTCATTGTGAACACGTCCTTCACTAGCACCAGACAAAAATACACAATTCCTTTTTGGCTAACATAAACTCGAGAACTAAAATCCTTCCAATTCCAAGAATGTAATTTATTCTAATGTACATCATTTATAAATTAATCAACAAAGATACGCCAATGCTTACAACACTGGTCTGTTTAACAAAATAAGTCCTCTAGCTCTAGGCCCAGCACTGACCATAGTAATCGGCTCTCAAACACAGAAGGCTCCATTCAACAGCATACTTCAGAAATTTCTGAATCTGTGTACTTTATCTTCCATAAGCATGCATCTATTTCTAAGGATACAAGAGGCAGTAAGAAGAGGGAAAATAATGAAAATAATATTAAAGTTACTATATTGAAGAAACTGCTTAACATCTAATCTATTAGACCTTGTTTTTTGATCAGCACACAGAAAACTGCTGCCTTTTTCTCCTGTGGGAGATTGCACACAGACAAATATTCCAGAAGAGAATCACTTCAGGCTACCACACAGTCAGAAATCTGTCCTGCTTAAGTCAACTGGAAGGGGCAAAAAAAAAAAGAACAGTAACTTTTACACGAGCTTTGCTGAATGTTAAGTTACAAGCACATAATTTCCCATTATTCATTATAGCAACATAGTTCTAGTTCTAGATGAAGATTTACAATGCAAGTTTTTTGACATTGCATATACATAATGAATTTACCCAACATTAAAATATCCGACAGCTAGCAAAAGGGACAGTCCAAGCCGTCTTCTTCCACAGTTTAAAAGAATTCTAGATATTGCTTTACCTACCACCAGAGCGTGGCATTCCATCCAGGAGCTTTGCCCACAGTGTATTATAGCAAACTTGGACTTTTACCAACACCTTGAAAAATTCATCTCATTTGAAAGATGAAATTAGCGTGATAAAGATAAAACATATTTGGCTAGAACTTCCATAGAGTTAATTTAAACCCCTTCCCTTTGAAAAGCTGTTTTGTGTCCACTGAGACTTCTAGAAACTGTATTTCTAGTTACTCTTTCTAAAGAAAGAAAATGTGTATGCTGGTGTGCTCTGGATGTCAATTTTTTTTTCATTTGGTTTCTGATTAAGGACTTATGCTTCCAAAAGCGTTGAAAAAGAAAATCCTTACAGAACTTCTCCATTATTTTTTTTTCTTTAACAGCAAGGCCCATGCAGGTATCATGGGATATTTTTAGAATCTAAGAAGCATTTAAAGACTTCTCTGATGTCCACCACTACACTACAAGACAGTTTTACACATTATTCTATGCATGGAAAAACAACATATTTAAACAATCACTTCATAATTAAATTTATGAGACAGCACACTGAAATCATTGTCCAGACAAATCACACTGGGTAAATTTGCTGCTGGAGTTGGGACAGTGGTCGCCTCATTAAAAACAAAATTGCAGTCAGATGAAAAGTTTCTTTAAAAAGTTTTCAAAGATAGCCAAAAGGAAGAAAAAAGAAAAAACCTAAGTGAGTTTTAAAACTTCAGGCCTGATATGGATTAATTATTGTCAAAAAACCTATTCCTAATACTTGACCAAACCAGACTGGCTAGGCTTTGGGGCTGCTTACTATTCCTTGAATATCTTCATCAGGTACCAGGACAAGGAAACAGACTGCTTTTGCAGAGGATCTCCATAACACCTAACAGCTTTTTTATTAACTGTTATTTTTTAGCTTCCCCTTTAAAGAAAGGAGGTACTTTTTTCTCTAATCAATTAGGACTCTAAGCTCTCAGTTGGCTTTCTCAGTCTGGGATGCATTTTACAATATGATTTTTAAAGTAACTATTAAGTATTATTAAAGTAATTAACTCCATATTGTCTTGTGAATTGTACACAGATGCTGCAAGAGGAAACATCCACAATGGAATCTAAAAAAGTCAACACAGCTGATAATTTAAGGCTGTTTAAATCTTGCTGGAAATTTCAGCTAGGATAAAACTCTCAAAAAATCTTTAAAACAGAAAAGCAAAGACGACTGGGGAGAACAAGGTGGTGCAAGGTGACCTAGGTTGCCAGAGAGATTCATGTCTGAGAGGCTTCACATGATGTTCCAGCCTGTTGTCTGGGAGGTCTGCTTTAAGTGTAATAGGGTTGAAAAATCTCACCAGCGCTAACTGTGGGCTATGCACTGACATGAACAGAAAAGCACAAGTTTGAGAAGTTCTCTGCTCAAAGAATCTTCTCTGCCATGTTCAGGGATACTTGCCATCCTTCACGCCCTATACATGCCATACTGCAAGCTTATCTCCCACGTTTGGGCTGCTTCCTGGATTCACATGCACATCAGCAAACTCAAGAACTGCAAAGCAATTGCAAGTCCAGGCATTTAAAACACTGTAAAATCATAGCCCTTCCAGCCCCTGAGAAGCCCTAATCTGTAAGGAACTGCAGTAGTTTGGAAGTGACTAAAGCAAACAGATTCTGTCATTCAAGACTTTAAAGCATTATCCGTTCTGTGCTATCCATGCCTCTCGCCAGCCTGAAGAACACAAATCATCTTCTACACTTAAAAACACAGTCTTTGACCACACACATGCACAGTTAAAGCCACAAGGACTTCGCCACTTGGATCTCAGACCTGGAATTCATTGTTGCAACACATTCTTAATTCTGGTCTGCATCAAGAGTGGTAGGTCTTAGAGGACTGGATTAATTCCACTACCTTTGTCAGTCTCCATAAGGTGTCATTGAGAAGTAACAGTACAGATTTAGAAACATATTTGTATTCCTTTTTTTTTTTTGGCAACATAAATTCAATGCTTGGAGGAGTTGAACTCCTGGATAAGAGGATCCAGAAGACATATCTTTTCTGAGGACAAATCAATATTTTCAGCTCTGCCAGTTTTAGGAGATTAGACTTAAGACAAAGATAAATCAGGCATTAACTTAACAATAATTTTGATCAAAGACTTAGAGGATACAGCTAGTTAATTTTCAGTAGAAGCTAAGGCTGATAAAACTGCTTGAAAATTATCTTTCACAATTATCCTGTTGTTCAAAACATTTGAAGAATACCTACTCCTCAAAGATGCATTTCTATGTCATAGCCATAGTTTGAACACTGCCATCTGTCAGCACACAGATTTACACTTGACTAAGTTCCTCACTAGTTCTCTTACTTTATCAGTTTCTCTGGTTCACTAAACCCTCTCTTTATATGATATATACGGGCTTTGCCAAACAGAAAAGTCAGTTTAGCAAGATCTTGTGCAGTTTCACAGGTAAGTTTCCAGTGGAAAAAAGTCTCATAAATTAAGACCAATCTTGGTTTTACAAAGGAAAGAAGTAGTTCCTTTGCACTATCCACCTTCAGAACACCATGGCTTCAAATAGGGCATTCCTCATCTACAACAGTCAGCATATATTCATCCTTAACTGTCATATTGGTTTCAGTTGCAACACAGCTACAACCAGGGTTCAGACTTCACTGAGATGGGCCACTAATCATATAGTTTAAAAAACTGTAATTGGCAATGCTTCCACAACAATTATTTGCATTTCCATCTTTCAGCATGATCGCTGCCTGTCTCTGCTTGCTTTGATAGACTATTGGAATTCTTAGCAGCAAGAGAAATATAATGAAGGGTCTTGATATACAGCAGCAAGTTATCACAAGCCTAGATCTCCTATGCTAACCTGAGCTACAGCTTTACAAAAGACTTTCTGTGGCACTATACATCATAAAAACAACCACCATATCAGCGTAGGATTTAGGGTACACTTGGTCAGATGTAGTTACAAATTAACTGGATTAGGAACAATGATATTTGAAGCACAGCTAAGACACACACTGCAGCAACCATAAAACCAAAGATTCAGTACATATTTTCATTTCTCCAGTTGCATTCTTTAGCAACACACAGAAAGCTCAAACTCAACATCAGAGTAAACAGGCATATGCATTTAGATATATTCAGTTGTACTTTTTCAAATGCATATGCAGGTAAAAACATGTTAGTTGGCAAGCAGCAATAATAGCATCTGCAGTCTGAGAATAACCAACGGGCAAACTTTTGAAAATAGGAGACCTAACTTACACTCATTTGGTGTCTTCAAGCTTTCACAGACCATCTAATTTTTACACTCCAGGTGAACTGTACTTGGCTGTTGACTAACCCTCCCAGATCTGGTGGAATTTATAGCACTTCACTAATTCTAAGTAGACCACTTGCTGTACTTCCAAAAGAGCCCAATACATCACCATAACTATTATTATTCAGAGCTCTCCATTTAACAGTCCACATCTCCTTCGCAGTTCCTTCATACAAGTTGGTAGCTTGAAGCTCCTTATAACATTTTGCTGTGTGGCCCTCTATGCATTTTAAATGGAAAGAAGATTAAAGAGGTGCTTTCTTTTACCTTTAGTAGTTAACATGATGCCCTTAGGGAGTCTAAAACTGGGATCTTTAAAGAGGATAAATGCTCCTGAGCTGTCAGAGGAGGTCTGAGCAGACATACAACAAGGCTGCTGACTACAGCAGTTGAACACATGCTCTTAGTAACTGCTATGTTCTTTAGCCTCCTTGTCCAAATATATGAGAAGCTGCTAAGTTAGGTTTCCATATTCCTGAAATACTCAGTTATTCAAATAAGGTGAATTTGACTTCTCTTCAGTCCAAGCTAGAAGTAAGAGGATTTGGAGTTAATACATTACTGCTAGTGTGAGCTGGTACTTTTGCCCTTTTCATCATCATTTTTTTGACATCTGTTTTTACCATCATACCTATTATTATAGGTATATTTTTCCAGAAAGCACTTCAAAAGCTCTACATAATGATATCTAGAAATCTAGTTTGCATAAACAGGTCATTTACGTGAGCTTGCTCCTCTTTTCTTGTATGAAGATCATTAGATTTGCTAATACTAATACAATAACTAATTCAAATCACCAAAAAGTAGTATCACCATCTGTATTACAGTCTACCATTGGAACACTCTAGGAAAGAAAATAGTGTTGATGAAAACATACCCATGCAAAATTCTAATGGTAAGAATCTTTTGTGCGTGTTCATGGAAGTAGTTTAATGTCATTTACAAAATACTATGAAAGAAAACCCATTTGTATAGCTTCCACTTCGATTTCTTACATTTAATTTGCAGCAGTTTCCACAGTTTGTTATTTCATGACTTAATGGAAAACTCTCTGTACCACCTCTTTTTAGATTGGTATACACAGTCAGTAGGCTCTGAATAAATTAAAAGCAAGTAATTGATAACAGAGGAGATGAAAGGAATAAAATGAGCTGGATTAATTGCAATCTTTCTACCACATCACAGAAATGTGCAAATGGGACAGTTCTTTTAAGGTGCTAGAGTAAATTCAGGAAATGAGAACATTCTTGGCAATGCTGTGACTTAAAGTGGATCCTTGGACAAGTTCATTAATTACTAATATTAATGTAATCACTATATATAAGAGTAACACTTCCTACAGTTAGAAAGAAGTTGCAGCACATAACCAAATGTTCATGATATCTTCAATTTTTGATTTTTCATTATTTCTATTCAATACTCAATCAGATCATACCAAAAAGTTGTAACAACTAATCTTCTCAGCTGATTTCTGATCCAGTGAGACAGCTCAGAAGTCTCCTCCCTCTTCATTGTGTCATTTGGTAACAAAGAATTTCCCAAAAGTCCTGTAACTATGTGGTATTTAAAGTTGAAACAAAAAGGCAAATCCAAATTATTGAAATATAGCAGCATCTAATAAGCTATTTCAGGTGTTTATTCTCCTACAGTTTTTGCTAATTTTATTATCTCATAACTTCAATTAACTCAAAACGAATTCTCAGGCAAAAAGAATGATGCTGCAAGTTATCTAGCACTTGGTCTCTTGGAAAAAAGTTGTCTGTAAACATCTTGACAAAAAACATTAGAAAATAACCATAACTTTTCTTAATAGCTCTACTCATTCATGATTTTGTTTTAGCTTCTTTTGTTGTCCAAGCACAGAATAACTACATTACAAAAATGACTCGGCTGCCACCAATTTGCACAACCTATTTGGAAAATGAGATGTAAGTTAAGACTTGATACAAACAGCTTCTGTCCTAATCAAATTTAAGTTGGTTTGGGTTTGTTTTTTTTTTTCTTTTTTCCTTCTGTAGTACTGTGGCAGTACATATATAAGCTAAAAGAACCCAAAAAAAGCACCAAGCACATCATTGAAAGCTCTGGTGTTCTCTTGTTTACTGGCTTCTACTAGCCAGTAGAAGAATTGATTCAATAACCACATAAGAAATACTTCAAAAGGTCTCAGCATCTTCAACTCATACTAGTAAAACTGAAGAAACATACACACACTCCTGAGAAGCTATTCCAGTTTGAAAGTGCTTTACAAGATTCAGAAGTTTTTATCTGGACAGAAAAATCAAGATACTTAAAGAAAATCCATATAAGAACGTACCTTTTTGAAGTTAACTTTTATCACTTACAAAAGCAAAAATCGGGTCATTAGATTATTAAGAGATTCCTAAGTAAAATGTAGTAGCCTTCATTATTCAGCTATTGATAATTAAAGGGTTAACATTAAACCCTAAAACAGAAAGTCCTCTTAAAGTTTCGCCTCCAGCAAGAATATTTACTAACATTTTTTCTGGAAATCTTTCCAACCAATACGTCCAAGAAACTGGAAGAGGGCTGTAATCCTTCCACTATTTCAGTAAAGCACTATTCTATCATAAGAACTAAAAATCCACATTAGACCTAGAGACCACAACAACAAACTACTACAATGCCCATCAACTCTAAGTCAGAGATCTCAAGGTGATTTAAAAAATAAAACAACTTTAAACTCTTTAAACTTACCTGTATGGTGCTGCCCAACAAAGCCAACAGTATCTCCAGGAGCTTACGAGATAGAACTGCCTGTAAGTTTCACACACCTGGAAAAACAGAGGGAATAATGCATCACTGAGAGGACCATGTGGCTCCTGTTTAACTAATTAAAGGAAGAAAAAATAAATGAAGAGCAAGCTTCCAGTCATGCCTTTCTGAACATGAGACCACTGGAGTTTTCAGTTACTTCAATTGTCCAGCATGAAAGAGTGAAGTAGTAACATAACATCATGTACTTTTATTTCTTTCTCTGACCACCTTTGTGTCCAGCTGGTAGCCTTCTTAGAACAACAACATTAGGAAGGCATGAGATCTGTATTTCCAGACCAATTTATTTCTAAATCAAGCCATATGCTCAACACACAACAAAAGAAATGACTCTGATTTTAATCAGCAGTACACTTTGAACACAGTCACTGTAATGCAATGGAAAGCACAGCAATGATAGTGGAGTAGCAAAGTCTTGGGCTGCTGCAAGTGAAGTTCAGCCCAAATGCAGCAGCCTTGAACACAGAAACAAAGGAAAAAAGCAGCTTACCCTTAAAAGACTTCACATAGGTAAGGATCTCCAGAAAAATAGCCCTGCTTCCACTGCTAACCCTTAAATGAGATCTGGGGAGGGGTGGAGCCAGATTCCAGTCACTCAGATGCATTGCATACAGCTGAGCTCCCCTGGGTTGGCCCAGGTAGACTTCCCACCAGGTGCTCAATCACTGTTTCAAGCTGTGACATTTCTGCTACTGTTGCCTGATTTCATTTGGGGAGTGCAGCCGTGTCAAATAAGGGAGCTAAACTGAAGGAAGAGTGTGGAACTCTGCCATACTGCCTTAGGCCATAGATGTGATGAATTTTGCAGAATACAAAAACTACAAAATTGTTAAACTATTAGTACTTTAGAATGCATGAAGTTCTCTCTAAATTACTACTTTTTTTTTTCTAGCTATAGGATAATATCCAACACTGCCCTTTTTTCTACCAAACATTAAATTGAGTGCACTTTTTTTTTAATTTTATGGCAGCATACTGAATCAGTTCTTTAAAAAAAAAAAAAAGTCACCGAAAAGGGTAGGCCCACATTCTATTCAGGTCTAGGGCAAATAATGACAGTATTAACATGGGAATGGTTCTGCATCCAAACCTCTCAAAATGTGCTTTCTAACCTCACCCTCACTGTAATATCACGAAGCAGCATTAAATAATCCCTTCACTCAGGCCCAGCTCAAGTGCTTCAGGAGCACTCAATTCACCGGAAGTGAGGCCATTTCGTGTTTCCTCACACACCTGGGATTCGTTGCATCACCCCTATATGAGGCCAGGCAAAGCATTTCTTCAGTGACTGTGTGTCATGGAAGAGATGGCCAAGCCAGCATGCCTGTCTCTGGAGACATTTTCTTTGAACCAAGAGCGAGCCTGACTCTGCCCCTCAGGTGCCAACACAATCACTTGCAAACAGGAAGGACAATTTTGTGTTTGTAGTATCCACAGTGCAGGAGAGGATTCTGCCACAGAATGGTGGAAGGAGTTGAATGCATCCACTATGTATGGGGAGACTGGGATTTTCTGCATTTTTTGAAAAAGTGAAAAAGCCAAGTACCTTCATTTCAGCTGGGATGCACCAACAAACACCTCATCCCCCGACACTGAAACTAGAGCAGCTGGGCCCACACTGACTTCAGGCCAGGCTTACCCAAGTTATGTCCACCCTAGACTCTGTAGGGTAAGGATGCTCCCCCATTTAACTCTGCAGTCTGAAATTCTCAGTGCATTTCATGAGGCCCGTCTTCTCTGTAACTCTCCCTCTTCACCCTTATGTCTCAGCTTACAGCAGATGAGGAACTGCAGGAGAGTACATCCCTGGGTCCTGTCTCCCTGCTGCTATCCCTGCCAGCCACAGCACAGTGGTAGCTGCAGGCAGGCAGGGAACAAAGAGCAGGACTTCTAAAAATCACAAGTTTCTTTTACTATTTTATTAAATACACACCAAGTCTACAGTTGTCTGTCACTGAAATTGCCCATACTTGTTGAAAAAAGTTCTTGTAATAGTCTCCAAATTTCTGTCCATCCTGTTTACCACAAACTTGCAGGAGATTTTCCTCCTTTGACACCAACATATACAATATATGAACAGCTTTATTTCTAACTGAAGTCTTGATTCAGTACAATAAACAGAAGTTATGTATTACACAAAGAAACAGTTCTACTGCCTGCTCCCATAGCTCCCAGCTAACTCCCTTTAACAGATGTTTCATGCTGTAAGTCAAGCTTGAGCCTTTGTATATGCATACACAGTTTATGAAATGAGCAAATTCAATTGCACAGTAAAAACTACTGCTTCTTGGCTACGGCCACTTCCGCAGTCAAACCTCTGTATGCAATAGCTGTTTGGGAACTGAAATTGAATCCTGCCCTTATTAAAGTTATCAGTGTCTCCTTTTCCCTCCAGAATTCTACATTTCATTCTGTTTAACACAGGAAGAATTTCAGTAGGTCTCTGAATTCTTCATAGATTAAAAAACTTCCTGTGAAAATGAATGAAATCCTTGTTACCTGAGCATTCAAAGCTGGCAACAGACACTAACGTTTGGGACAGATATTTCATTTTTCAATTAGTATCCTTCCAGTATTGTTTTTGAAGAGAAAAGCATTATTTAATTGAAAGATAGGTCCACCAACATTTATGTCCTTATGTATGTACAGTAAACACATTCCATGATGTATGATATTACAGATTTAGAAGTATTACAAATATGCAATCATGATCCAAATAAAAATAGGTCAGCTGTATTCAAGTTACATTTACTTCTTGCAAAGGTTAGGAGTGTCATCTTAACTACATCTGCATTGCATTAAGACAAAACTGCAAATCAGTTGCTGAAAGAAATGGAGAGCAATCAGATTTAAAGGGTTTCTAGAGGGCAGAATTACCATAAAAACTGAGCTGCAAGATCTTACATTTGACTACTGTCAGAATTTATTCTAAAAATAATAAAAATAGTTCCACTAACAAAATATCCTCTCATTCTTAGTTAAGGCTGTAGTGATTCTATATACAATCAGAAATTTTGGCAAAAGACACTGTCAGCAAAACAAGGAGCTGTTAATGAATTAAAATGCAAAAAGGCTGTGTAGAAGAAATATAAATGAGGACAGGTGACAAAGGAGGAATATAAAAGCAGTGCTTGGGTAATTTGGGATGTTATCAGGAAATAGAGAGCCCAGCAGGAGCTCAACCTGCTGAGGAGCATAAAAGGCAAAAAGAAAACAATTTTGTAAGTACACTAATAGCAAACCAAAGTTTAAAGGAAATGTGAAGCTGTTGTTGAGTGGTGGAGACTACCTACTGGCAGATGATATAGCAAGGTTGAAATATTAAATGACTTTTTTGTCACGATCTTCAAAAAAGTTCCCAGACTGCTGTATTTATCTGTATAGTTTGAGAAAGGAGGTCAAGCTAAGGCAGAGGAGTTAGACTGTTTAAAGAACATAGGTGTATACACATAAATGGGATCAATAGAATCTGCTCAAGGATGGTGAAAAAAATGGGTGATGTGATTATGAAGACACATCATCCTCAGAACATTGTGATGATTTACGGGAAAGGGTTAGTGTTACAATCATCTTTTAGAAGGGTCCAGAGAAGGATCTGAGAAACTAGCTGCTGACAGCTTCAACTCAGTCTCTGAAAAAGCATCTATACATTTCCAAACAAAGGATAAACAAGAAGGTGATGGGCGAAAGGATTTATGTATAGCAGACAAGGTCTGTAATTACTAATTCCATCTGTCCTTCTATGCTGACATATCTAGCAAGAAAAAAAAGACACTCCTCTTTGGCAGCACATTCATAAGGTCATTTTACATAGGTAGTGTATTCCAAGGTTCAATCCAGCACAAAGGCTCAGACCTGTTAGTGCTAATACACAAAACTGTGAAACATGTATCAGTCCCACTCCACAGCCAAAGAGGAAGACACAGTTTAATACTGCAAGTGTAATCCCCTCTTCTTTGATGCTGAATTAATTCCATAGGTTACTTCATACCAAGCTAGCGTCACCAAATGTTTTTGAATCTTCACTTACATTCTATTTTTTCCACACATGACTGTGCATTCTTCATAAACTTTCACCAAGAACCCCAGTGGATCGGTAGAGCTCCGTATAGTATTTGCAGACTATGAACTGTGGTCTGTGAGTCACTGACATATATCCCAGGTTAAAAAAAAAAACAAAACAGTAACCACATAGAGGTAAGTTCAAACCTAAAAGGAATTATGTATCTGGGGACCTCAGAGGCCATCTCCACATTGTTTCAACTCCATTTCATCAACCACTGTGGTTCCCAGTCATCGCCAATAGCACAGTTTGTGTATGCTCTAAAGGCAGATAATCCCCTGAGTGATTGTCCAAAGGAGAATACAACAAGGTAGCCATGCCTAGGCTTTGTGAGATGAGCTGTTTTTCTAATAAGGTATATTAGCCTTTGGCCATTCTCTAGTCAAACATCCCTGAATGCACACAGTTCCAGTGCAAGACAGCAGATTCGTAGCAGAACTCGTGAATGCATCTCTCCAAGAGGGATGTGGGACACTGTTGCTCATCCAACGTGCATTAACTTTCAAGAAAGCTCTTACTACATTTCATGACCGATGTATCACACATCTATATATTTCCAGGCAGTCATGGAATAGGATGGAAAGATGCACAGAATGGACATTCTGAGGGTGTTGGTGACAGCCTCTGCTATTTATGCATGCAGTGATTATTTTGCTTCATTTCTGCTGAAAGCAATTTATGGACATTGATTTCATTGTTTATTTTCCACCTACATAGTCCTTTCTTTGGACAAAAGCTTGTGTTGTTAGGTACAATATGCTATTTTAAATGAGATTTTACATTAAATTCAGAGCAGAGCAACAACTTAATTAATCTTACCATCTGTTCTGTTCAGGCTTGGTGGCTTTCACGTAACATTTAACTTTTGTGCAAACCCAAAATGCTAAAAGTTAAACTGAGCTCAATTTCTTTGTGCTTCACCATTTGATGGGGATAATGAAATTGTTTGCCTCAGATTTGGTAGAAAAACAGGGTAGGCTCCTGGTCACCATTTATCAACTTCTGCTTTTAACTGCAGAAAATAAGAAATATCAGGAAATGCGATTTTTCACCACAGTACTGTGTTGGAAGCAGCCATGGGATCACTTATTGCTGTGGGAGCCTCACAGACCAAGGCTCTGAGGCAGTCAGACAGATTTATCAGGCAGCGTTTTCACATCTGGTCAAAAACATTTGACTTTAAGCAGTTTAACTTCAATTTTGGGGTTGAGCTTGTTACCTTGTGAGCTATCCCATCCAAGCTGGAGATTAACAGTTCTCTACCTTTTCCAAGAAAGGAGGAAAGTAAATCATTGACACTCACAAAATGACACAGGCAATGTCAGGGCAGGCTGCTGCCTTCTTTCCAGCACACTACATCTCTGTGTGGATGGCAAGAAGATTGGTTTAGAGGACCAATCAGAAACATTTAGGGCTTTTAGTTTATTAGACACCAGAATCAACATTCCTGTTTTGGATGATGGCTGTTCTTCCTCTAACTGGTTCATTTCAAACTAGATCTATGAAACTCTGTTAATACTCCTGAACCAACAGCAGATCTCACTTTTACAGGTTCCGGCAAACATGCACATCTTTAATAAATAAAATAAAGCTAAAATCCTGTACTGTGAGAAAAAGATATCCCCTATGGCTACAATAAAGGCAGCAATGCAGAAGTAGAACCACCCAACAGAATTTGAAGAAATCCTTGTGGCAGGAACAAAGAGGAAGTGGTCACAGATTACAGCATCAGAAAACAGCATGAGTACAGACTCTGGCAAAATATTTGTCATGGCTCCCATGGTGATACAAGAAGCTCTTGCACCACAGCTAAGGCCTTATCCATTTCCCCATGTTACAGAAAGTGAGGAAAAAGGAACACCACCACTGGAGGGCTCCAACTGACCTCACCAAGAACGCACATCTAGGCAAAAAATTTGTAACTTGGAATAGTCCAAATTACACAGCCCCATGCTCATTTCCATGAGGATATGTGGGCAAAGTAAATGGACTGAGAATACGGGAACTGAAGAAACAATGAGAAGAAGAAAAGAAAGAAAACAACACAACAGATGCTTCTGCAGCACACAGAGCCTAAAAAGTTGTTCTGAGAAAAAGGCAGTGGACTAGAAATAACAGCCAGGCACCACACAGTGACTGCCAGTCACAGCGTGTGTTTCTGTGAAACATTCAAACACTGGCAACAAGATCATCAACAGCTGTTCAATTTCTATGAACCTCCATCTGATTTCATGATCCTGGCAGACCATTAGTCTCAGCTGTGCTTCTCAGATAGCCTATCTGAGCATATCTATCTTCAGGCATATCTAATGAAGGCCTTTATATCAAAAACAGATTTTGCATCATTCTAAACTGCTTAACTGAGCAGAGAAAGTAGCATCCAATTGCTCAATGCTGTTGTTGTCTACCTACTGATATTTTTCAATCTTCAGCTGCCCAGGCATAGCAATTGGACAGATCAATACAATGGGAAAAGTTGTTTCACCAAAGTGCAACGACAGAAGGATTGGCACAATAGAAAGGTGCTCTAAAGGAAACGAAGAAAATTGCTTACCTGCATCAGAAGATTCCACGTTCACAGGGGAAAGCTCCACCAAGGAGGGATCTCCAGAAAGAAACCCATCCCCAGCAGCAGTCAGCCCTTAAATGGAGTCTCAGAGAGGTGCAGCCAGGCTCCACCCTTTCTGGTCACACAGCTGAATTGCCTTCACCTGTGCTCCCAGGGCTGACCGGTCCTCTCTCCAGGTGCTCAATCAGTGGTTCAGGCCATGGCTCAGCAGTTCCCATACACCAGGACTTAACAGCAGAGTCAGCAACTCTGTTTTATCTCTTATCCAGTAAAATGGTAATTCACTGAAGCATGAGACAGGAGTAAAAATCTCCATATGTTCTTCACAAGGAGATTTGACCAACTCCTTCTCTGATTTCCAACCTGTGTCCACTCAAAACCAAGTATTTAAAGAGATTTTCACTATGCAGTCCAACATGGGTGCTATGAATGGACTGAAAAGATTCATGTATTCAAAATAGTCCAAGTTATTTATAGTTCTGCCCATAAGTTACAGCATCAATTTTAGGATACGCCTCTTTTACCTGTCCATTATGAAATTTCAGCAATCACATGTAATAGGGACTGTAAACAAGACATTCCCATGTTTATTTTACCCATTATTGTTTTTTAAATTCCCTGCACAACAATTTCATGACATCCTCAATATCCCACTGTCCTGCAGGGGCACACCAGTGCTGTAGAAACTGCAGCTGAAAAATGCCATTTTCCCCACATTTTAGATCAAAATTGAATTTGTTCTCACTACCAGAACTGTAACAGAATTCTCTCATCCAGAAAACAACCAGTGGTTACTGTCATCTCCTGCAGGCATAAATCCTGAAACAGCTGCATCCCCTATACATTTTGGTTGAATGTTCAAAGGAAATTAAGAGAGCTAAAGCTGAATTTGAAAAACACCTTATAAGAGATATTGAACTCTATAATGAAAAATTCTTCAAGTACAATCAAAGAAGCACAGCTTCCAGGGAATCAGTGAGACTGCTCATTGGCAGAGTAATAAGTGGGACACTAAAAGAACTAAAGGAGGAAATTCTTTACTTATGAGGGTGGCAAAGCTCTTGCACAGGATGCTCAGAGAAGATGAAGATGCTTCACCCCCACAACAGCTCAAGGCCACGCTGGATGGGGCTTTGGGCAACATGGTTTAGTGGAAGTTGTCCCTGCCCATGGCAGGAGGAGCTTGAACAAGATGATCTTTAAGGTCCATTTTAACTAAAGCACTCTGTGGTTCTACGTTTCTATTAGGAATAGAGCAATGAAACTCAGTGCAGTCTTTGTCACTGTTGAATGTATTGAGGAGGTTACTGTTCCCAGTGTGCTCTTTGCAGGATATAAAACTGATGCAACTCATCAGACCTATGTAAGCGTTTAAGAGGTATTAGACCAAATAGATGAGTAAGACATTACTAAGTTACCAGGAGGGGACAGTACTCACCCTAGAGTTCTAAAGGGAAAGAAAAAACACCAACAGGAAGAAATGACAGCAAAGGTGTCTAAAAGTAATTACATACATCAGTGTGCCAGAGGACCAGCAGACTGCTTCCCACATCACACCCACAGAAAGGGTTGTATGAAGCAGGCTTGTATGAAGGAAAATCCTGTCTCACTAACCAATATTTGGAAGGAGTCAGTCAATAAGCAGGAGAATAGAGGAGAAAATACATCAGGCTCCAGGATTTTTTAAAAGTCTTCAGCAGTGTAAAATATCTAAAACAAAAGAAGTGCATGAGTTGCAAAGGGAGTGGATAGAAGAACCCACTGTAGACTAAAAGATAGTTAAGGGACAGAAAGGAAGCATAGAACTTACTAAACACATAACAAACAAAAATCTGTTACCATGACATGATGGTGAAGTGATTCATTAGTGCAATGATATTTAACTGTCAAATAAATCAGACATACCTAGTGTCAGGAGAAAATTTTTTTAGACTTATTTCTTAACTAAAACAAGAAGAGGGCTTCTGAATCTTTATCTCAAATTGCAAGTAATGTGGGCAGTTCAATATCACTAAAAGTTAAGTTTTATACCAATAATAATTGGCATCGAAGATGTGAGGTTATTCTCAATTTTATCATTACTAGCTTTATTTCCACAATTCATTTCAAGCACAAACAGAAAATCAGCACAATAAACACAAAAAGTGGAAGAAAACATTTTATTTGTACTGAGGCAAAAGGAACACATCTCATTTTGATAAAAGGAGAGCAAATGGTTTTGAGAATTTACACAAAAAATTAAAAAAACCTCATTCTTATCACACCAATACATGATTGAATTTCCTATGTCAAAACTCTCTTCCTCCCAACTTGGCACCATTTTTATTGCCCAGTACAATATTTCATGTCTTCATTTGTCAAAACATCATGTTACCTATGTAAACATCTGTTTTATGTGTAAACTTCAAAAAGTAAATGGAAAAACCTAATTTATTTCCTAAGTCACCCAAAAATTAAGTGTTAACTAAATATCAGATTAATTACAGCATATTCTCTGTAACATTGTTTCAATAAGAACTACAGCCTGTTGAGTTCCTAACAGAAATGGTCCAGAAAAAGCTGATGTGCAGAGTCACGTATTAGTGTAATAACTTTATAAGGCAATAATAAGAAAGATAATATACTTCTTTTTTCTAAAGCATACATGCCAGGACAAAACTCAAGGCTGCACTCTGCCAGTTCATTTTTGTAGTGTAGGATTTCTTCTCAACTCAAGCTTTGTGCAATAGCAGACTTTTTTTAGTGTTTTTTTTTTTTTTTTTTTTTTTTAACGTTTTCAATCCAAATTCTTCACATGAAAAGTAAGAAAAACTCTGTTCCCAAAGAATCAGCTATAGTAAATGCAAACAGGAACTATCTGAAGTTAAATACTTCTAAAAAAAATAACCAACACATGAACAATAAGATCACTGCAGAGAAGTTCCACAACCTAAGTCAAAAGATTGAGCTAATATTACTTTTGTAACCTTTTTGTTGCTTTTTTGTTCACTTTATGCTCAATTTCAATAAGTAGTAGTAGTTGTATGGCAATCTGGAAAGCACGACATCACCAAAGATTTCCTTTATTGTTCAATGTGGCTTTGTAGTGCACAGCATAATCAACCTCAACCACTCAAGAAGAGAAAACGTTTCAAAGTTGTTGAAAACAATCTAAAAGTAATTACAGTATGGCAGTAATCAAAATGACTGTTCTCTTTCCTCTAATTATAACTTAATCTACTACTTGTCATTTTTACAAACTGCAGTTCACATTAAAACATTTTTGATAACAAAAGCTTTTCTTTGAAAACAACACTGCTTTACATCTAGTCAGGCAGCTTGTGCATATCAGAGCATTCTGTCTAGAGAGACACAGAAAAAGGCAAAGGAGGAAGAGCTGAAATACGGCTACAGCTTATCTGTGCCTGTAACGCACTGCAGCATCTCAGGCAGCACTAGAGACAGCAAGTTTCTTCAGATGATCCATAAATACTTGCAAGCTGACATCATCAGTAAGAATGGGTGCTCCAGATTCCTATAAAAGAAAACAGAGAATAGATTAGTTATTGTGAAGAAAAAGCATTTTAAGGTACATATGCTCCATCAACAAACACCTCTCTAAACTGAAGTTTTGAATGATCTTAAAAGCATATCATTGCTGATGTTTTCTGACCAAAAAAAACAAACAACCAAACCTGCAGTCTATACACTTTCATACATTTACATAAATTCAGACACAAATCACAACCAGGACATGAGGAAACAGTCTCAAGTTGCTGCAGGGAATGTTTAGATTAAATATCAGGAAGACTTTCTTCATGAGAAGGGTGGTTAGGCACTGGAACAGGTTGGTGGAACAGCTGTCCCTGGACGTATTTAGGAGACATGTGGACACTGCTTATGGACAAAGTTTCGTAATGGATCTGGTAGCATGGTAGTGTCAGGCAATGGCTGGACTTAATCTTAAGGGTTTTTTCAAACCTAATATGATTCTACTTTATGATTCTATGACCACCCTCTTTCCCAAGGTGGACGCATGAGTTGAAGTGCAGCAAGATATTTACATCAAACATAAAAAACTCAGCGTTTTTGACAGATACCAAACTCTAATTTTCAGAATTTTAGAAGTGAAAGCTTCCATGTCACGATTTCAGTACCATTCCTATCTCAGTGAAGCAAAGGTGACAAGCAGAAATGCGCAAGCACCACAACTAGTAAATCAGTATCAGTCACTGCTGAAGCTCAGATGCATCAAAATATCAAAATGGAGAAAGGAAGAAAAAAAGCCACTGAAGATCTGATCTAAGTGAGGGTCAATTAGCTTTTCCAAAGTGAGCTGGACCTACAGCCCTGGGCTACCTCAAGAGAACCACAAAAGTATCAGAAGCTACATCTGATTACAAATAATGAAATCTATGTTAGAGATATGCTTGTAATTTGCTTTTTGACCCCAGAATTAAAAAAAAAAATCAAGATGTTCATATTTTTATTATCTACAAGCAAACTTCCACTCTAAATAAAACAGCAGGGTTGGCAACTCTGCAAATGTTACATCATAACTTTCTTAAGTTATCTGAAACAAGTCTTAATTACTCTATAAATTTCAAAAAAAAAAAAAAAAAAAGAAAGAAAGAAAAAAGAAAAACCACAAAACCTTTTCAAGGTACTAAGCACCCACAATTCCAAATGGAATCAGAACCATCTGAACTTTTAGTAAATCTTTCAAAACAAAGACAGAAAAGTCCTAATGAGGATGCTTAGACCTGGTGCTCCTTATTTAGAACTGGCCAAAACCACTCCTCAGTTAATGACCAAGGCACAAATCCAGGAGCAGAAAGACTTTTTACATACATTATACTTGATATACACACAGCAACTGTCAGTGAAGACTCACTTTTAATTTATTTATTTATTTATTTATTTTTAAATCTTTTAACTTCTGGAGCCAGGTAAAAATAAAGACATTATTCTTCCGTATTCATCAAAAGCTAAGCTTTTCTTGTTTAAGGAGCCACAAGAGGATAACAAGTACTTCAGTTCTGTTGCAGAATATGATTTGCCACCTTGTGTCTTATGTA